ATAAATCTGAAATGTTAACCATGAAATTTATCAGCTATACAGTATATTTTACTTATCTAGATATTTCAGGACTTCTGGAGAGCTAATGTTTCATCTCTATCCCTGGTTATGGTTATGGCTTCAGCCCGTGGAGCATTCTTGGCCTGGTGTATAAATTCTGGATTAAAACCTTGGGATTCGCACCTCTATACCCTTGCAGTCCAGCTCTCATCATTGAATATGAAGTGCTGTAATTTGATTCTATCCTCCATGATGTTTCCCTAAGTATTCATAGTTTCTGACTTTCTGGTATTTGCAGTATGTAGTTATCTCCCTTGGCAAGTCATTGAGTTAGACGGGTGGACCTGGGGTCTCATGCTTGGCACATGATAGCAAACTGTCCTGCTTTCTCGGTACTAATGATGTACTTTTTGGCCATAGGCGTATCAGATAAGAAATCTTCCATAATTTAGAGATCTGTAGTGTAGCAGGCAAGGAGTAGGACATTGTCTGCTAAGTTGGACATCTAAAAGCTAAAATGGTCCCTTTCTTGTAGTTTCTGAGAAGGTTCAGAAATACTTTGTACATCGTCTGAGACCAGCACATGACGAGCTGTACTTCTTGTGGCTTTTGAATTAGTTTGGAGAGAAGATCGTTCCACTTTACATGCGACATGGCATCTTTATACCATTCCTGCATAAAAACTACATACATGCCCTGAAGTTGCATTTACATCTCAGTTACGTCTTTGTGGAATTACCAGAAAAAATAAAAAAACAAAACAAGTATTTGTAACAATGTAGTCGGACCTGAGGAAAAAAATATCTGTCTTTGTTTAGCAGAAATTTCATTATCCAAACTAAAGGAAAATGAATTCTAAAAGTTTACATCTATTTTCCCTTTTGGCCCAATCCCTCTGCATCTATGGGGTCAGAAACCATTTATTCAAACAAGCCTCCTGCACCCAAAAAGGGACAAAATCCTGTAATTCCTACAGATGCAATCCAATTTTGAAGAATTTGCTATATTCCCTATATTGTACTCCCCTCCCATTCCAGGGGCAGAGACTCTGTGTAAACAAAATTGATTTCCCTGTATCAAAAGATGTTACAAATCATATTACAGAAGACTGGAAGCATTCCTACAGAGACAAATGATTTCAAAGAGTGTGCTCCGTTTCCTATTATATATTGGCCCTGTCCTGTCCTAGGGGACTGAGACCCACTGTTAATACAAAATTGAGTCCACTTCCCCAATGATGTTTCAGACGAAATTGGGACAGCATCTCCAGCCCCACCCTAGAGGGGCCCCAAGACCCACCCTCTATACAAAATTGAGTTATGTTAACACAGAAGTACTTCAGACCAAATTGGTACAAATTCAAGGCATTCCTACCATAGAGGAATTTGTAAGAATTTCTTCTTATTCCCTTATTTGGCCCTGCCTCTCCTGCCCCAGGAGAGCAAGACCTGCTGTTTTAACAAAAAGGTTACCTTCATTCAAGGATGCTTCAGACCAGGAAAAGGAATAGACTCTTAGCATTACTATAGACAGTTGTGAAGACTTAGCTCTACTTCTCTTTCTCCCCTCCCCTAGACCCAAGTATTTGTGTCTATGTGGATTGACCAGGGGAACATCAAGCACTTACTTCGCTATGGACTGAACTGAAGAAGAGTGTTTTCATCTGCATTAACTTCCATGAGGAAAAACAAGTATATATGACACTGTGAGGAAGAGTGAATACTTCTGTTGATGTGGACCGACCAGAGAAAGAAAGAGTAATTATGTCTCTTCTTACATCTCTGTGAACTGAACAAAAGAAGAACGAGTATTTATGACTATGTGGACATAACATAGGAAGAGGAATAACGAGTATTTACGTTCATGTCGAATGACCAGAAGAACGAATATCTTTAATTTTCAACTGTTTATTAAAAGAGAATTATACAGATTTCATTGAAATTACATATCAATAACTGAAATCTGAGAAAGACATTGATGTATACAAACATGACATGATACTTTACAAGAACGTATGTAAATCATTATAGATTTCAAATAAACTTACTGAAATATATTGTTATATTTTGTCATAATAAGATAACATGTTTGCTTTTAGGGAAAATATGATTAATAACTGTACCCATACATAGAAAGCTTTGAAAGGAAAAAATAATAGATAAATAAATATATAAGGAAATCAATTGTGTTAAATTTTAGCACTAAAATAAGCTCTAAAATAATATAATCACTAAAATATGTCAGTTTACAGTAACAGGAAATTCCTGAGATATTTGTACATTGAAAATGAAAGTCTCCAAAATAAGTGCTTTGACATTTGGTTTAAGATTTGATAAAATAAACAATAATATAAAATATAAACATTTTGATTTTTCTGTATTGATTTCATCATTTACTATTATTATAAAAATTAATTGCTGCATTGACATATATAGTTATACAAAGAAAGAGCAATATGTAGCAAGTTTGATACTTTTGAGAGTTTTGTGAACATCCTTCTTCACAAAGGGAAGAAAGGCTCAATTCAAATATTCAACATACTAAATGGTGATATAGGCCAAAAAAGTCACACTTATTAGTGGGGTAGGACATACAATTATCCTACCTTGGAAGGTATACCAACACTTTGTGCAAGTGTGACAAGAGGCCCAATGGACCTGCATTGCTCACCTGGTATTCAATATTCACCAAAAATAGAATCGGTACTCATATCACAAATAGACACCATTGGCGTTCAAAGTGGGTACACCCAACACTAAACAGTGGCAGTTTTGACCTGGATTTTAAGAAAATGCCAGATCTTTTTTCTCAAAATTTGTTGGACTTTGACCTAAAAACATCTTTCCACATGCTTATCATGCTTTAAAGTCACTTCAAGGTTTTAACAAATTTACACATGTGACTGGAATAAGAGTCAAGGTTATTTCTTTCTGCAAATATTGTTGGACTTCATCTTAGGAACCTCTCACCCAAACACCATGGTTCTGTGTCTTTTGGTTACTCAGGAGTCATGTAAAAGTTTTGAAAAATTTGACCTCTGTGACCTTGAATATAGGTCAAGGTCATTTCTTTTGCAAACTTTGTCAAGCTTCATGCTAGCCAAATATGCGGATGCCATGCCACGGTATGATCTCACTTGGCCCTTTGGGCCTGATGATGTCTGATGCCTGAGGATCGTGATACCCACCATTATTGTTAAAGTATTTTGACCCCGATTCATGCTTCACAATACCATACCACACCGGTTTATGTTCCTTATATTTCATGTACTCCTCCCTCCTTGTAACCTACTGGTAACTCCAAGAAAATCAGAACCTACTTTTACCATCAAGTTGGTTCCCAAAATTCCACTATCCTATGTGAATTACGGAGATCCTCGAGGGATCTTGGTGCCCACCGTTGTCAGTCATGATATTAAAAGGAGAACCTTCATTTTTTCCCAAAAATCTATAGAGTACTTAAACAAATAGTGGTAACAATAACAAAGACTTGTAACTATGGACTGATGTAGACCAGAAATGCAGGGCGAACAGCTCCATCATCTGATGATGTTCGGCTAAGGATTTGACATGTGAAGATAAAATTTAAACATGAAATAAGATGATGACAACGTGATAACTTATGGGCATTTGGAATGCACTTAGTGAAAACAAATGTAATCTATCACTGCATAAATATCCTATATATATACAATTTTGAGTTATTTATCTGGAAAACTGGTGTATAAAGGTACCAGTTGATTGATCACAGAAATAACCTCCGAGTCTCTTATTCATGTAATGAAATTGTAAAACGAACCCCTTACTAAAATATCAAGTCAATATGGAGTAAGTTTAGATCGTGTGCATACTGTATTACCTAAATCTAACCAGTTCTATTTTAACTGCAACATTGACTGATTTATGAATCACCAAACTTTCCCAACCAAATAATTGTAGTTAAAGTCACAGTAGTGTAAGTCTATGTAATATGAATTATACATATTTTATTAAAACCAGAGTTCAACGAAATTATGACAAATCCAATGCTTTTGACCATGGGAAAAACAGACACACATCATTCCATACCCATGAAATATATATTTCATATGAACCCTGCCAGTAGCAACTAAGGTAAGGCTTCCAGTTCAATTTAAGGGAAAAGAAGCACGTTTCCAGCTTTCTTTTGGTGACTTAACATCAATTTCCAAAGCAGAAGTCATTTTGTCACTTAATTTGTATGTTACACGACAAAATTTCTTAATTGTAGGTAATCAAATAGATATCACAGAAGTTTTAAAGGGGGTGAGACTCTACAGCAGAAATGTCCTTGTCATACTAATTATCATGCTAGAAATCCAAAAACACAAAACATATCTTATCCTTCTACACAGATAGACACAGATGAAGAGACTATAAATTAGAAAGAATTATATATTTTGATTGTTAGGTCAATTGTTTCTAGGGTCATTTCTGAGGTTGTGCTAATTATACCGTGGGTCAAATGTATGTTACATATTTCCATTATACAAATGTAGTGGAGGTAAAGCTTTGAAAGAAAATATGTAAAATAAAATTGCCTGTGCACAATTGTTTGTCAGCGAATAACTTCTCTAGTTAATGAGCAATTAACAGTTTCTCAATTATATTTCACACAAAATCTTTGCAGCATTGAGCTGACTTTATTAAAATGTCTGGTCTTTTGAGGATGAATATGTATTACATGCATCGGCAGACCCATCAACATATTTGTCTAAATCAAATTAATAGTTTGATCAGAACTCGGACATATAATATCACAACATAACATCTACTTTGATTGCTTAATGCAACACGTCTGTGCAAAAAAACATCCTCACTCAATCTTCATTACAGTTAGTAATCCAGTAATAAAGCTTAAGATGTTATATGTTAACAATACACATGTCACATCATACTTTGGCACAAGTATAATTCATGCAGCATCCATAATTTGGACACTCAAATGTACATCTACCCTCAAACACAAAATTCACACATTGTTCAATCAACATTCAGTTCTCTGAAACTCTCACCCATGACCTTAATGAATTTTTTCTTACCCTTGTGTTTGTGAGAGACAAAGTTTGTGACACCTGTGCGAAATAGCACAGCACCATTGTCTACAAACTGCATACAAGTTTGTCTTGCTTTGGTCATATCTTTCAGAACACGCCGATAAGAGGTGTGACTGCAGTGCCTTAGTTCATGGTCAAACTGCCTTTGGAAGCAATCAATAAGCTTTGTTCCAAGCTTCTCCTTAGCTTTTGGGAGCATGTGCTCAGTCTTCTCTAAAGATCTTAGGAATGTGACAAGCACTTCAGCATCTCCCATCATGCTGTCTGACAAGTGTGTCATGAAATTCTGAAATTGTTTACCAGAAGCTACATTTTCACTGTCATTCTCTGCTAATTTCTCAAAAAAGTACTTGAGGTAGTTGAGAGTTCCTGCATCAAGGTAAGAGAATTTCGTTGGGTAGTCTTTGTTGAGCACCTGGAGGCGACTAAATGCAAGTCTAATTAAATTGAACACATCTTTTTGAAAGATATTTCCAGCTTTGATTTTTGAGGTAGGAGTTTCCTCAACTTGTCTCTTGGCAATGAGGAGGAGTGCTTTGGGGGTGTAATTTTCAAAGTTTGCAGCAATCTTTTTCAGGGCCTGTTGGTAGCCTTTATCAGTGATTTTGAAGAAGTCCATAAAGTCACAACACTCTTCATCATGATGGAATTTTGATTCAAAGTACTTATGAAGCATGTTTGTCATCTCTGTCGGCAGCATGGCTTCCTTCTTAATTGCATCCTTCATCACCTCAATGATACCTTTGAGTTCAGAGGAGTTATAGAACTTGCACAGCTTTAGCCACACAGGTAGGATGAGCTTGGGAAACTCCATATCTAGTTGTCTGCCAAGCTTGGTGAGGGTGTTCCAAGCACTTCCTGTATAATTACTGAAGTTGTCCCAAGTTCCATCCACATTGTGTTGGATACATTGTAGAACTATCTGCACCACTAGCACCATGTGTTCCTTCTCCACAAGAGTAGACTGAAAGTCCCGAATCACTCTGTAGGCAGCCATCAAGTAGTCACAGTCATCAACCTGCCCTAAATGCTTCAGAATCTGAAAGTAGGATGCACCAGTATGTTATCTCAGTGAACAAAAACCACCAACTGACACTTCAGTCTAAAACAAAGACTGATCATCAGATCAGTTATCTTAATAAATTAGACATGTTTCCTTTATATTTCCAAAGTATAAAAAATGTTAAAGGAATGAACCAGAATTATGTGTAATTATCTGTTTTGCTAGTATGGTAATTTTAAAAACTCATACTTTCAAAATGCCATTCCATTAAATTTTTCCATTTTTTTTTTAATCAAAACATCAAACGTCTTCAGTTATTGATAACATGGCACTTGTTGGCAGCACCATAGACGATAACTTCTTCCAATCATTTCGGAAAGGGCCTCTTTATCTCAATCTCATTTTAGGGGAAGAAAATAAACAGCTGGACTGGAAATTTCAAGATACAAGCCATATAATTTGGTAATTTGGCCATAAATACAATTGAAAATTGGGCCACCAACCCACTGCCCCCGCCAAAAAAATCCTCAAGATGTGTTGTTACGTCTAAATATTAATGCATTGTAGAATTAGGAATGAAAATATTGTGAATTCTTCAATTCTCAAAATTCCTTAAAATATGCCATCTTCATCCATCAAATATCACTTTAAAAGAGGAGAGAGAGGAAAACTTGTCTGATACTATTTTTCAGTAAACATTTAAATATGACTATAAGCTAAATCTGAAGAGAATAGAACAAGCCATAAGCCATACAGACTGTAGTTATTTCTCAGAATACTTGGGTACAACAAACAAGAGATCCCAGAGTGATCTTGGCACCCACCAATGTTTTGGATCTTTTTTCTTCTTTTCTCTTTTCCCCTCTTATTTGCTCTTGAATATAAGAACTTTGAGATTTCCATTCAGAAATAATCTTAAACTGTCATGTACAGAATGGTCATCAATCAGTATTTTGCTTTTCTGGCAGCCTCAAAATGCATAGAGCACAACTATAGACCAAGGAAAACATACATATAAAATTTAACAGATCCATCCAGTACTTCTCTAAAAATAGTTATGACAAACATTCATTATCAAAATCCAAGATGGCCACCTGTCAGCTATTTTGTTTTTTTATATAATTCCCAAAATCAAAAGGGGTACAACAAGGGACCAAGGTGTCCCTACATATGAAAATTGAAAAGGATCAATCAAATACCTAAAGACATAGCAGTAACAACTATCACTGTCAAAATCCAAGATGGCCACCAGTTGGCTATGTTGTTTCTTATATCAGTCCAACAGTGGTGTATTGCACAGCTAGGGAGCAAGGGAACCTATATATGAAATTTGGAAAAGATCCATCCAGTGCTTCTTCAGAAATAAGAATAACAAGAATTGTGTAATGACTGACAGATGGATGCAGGGCAATTTGAATAACCTAACATCTGATGATACTGGGCTAATAATAAAATTCATTAGATTTATTTAGTGGGTTGAGGTGTACATATTACAATGTAACTTCATGCCAGGTTTGGTGATTGGAATAGCACATGTACTTCATGAGAAACTTAATGTAAAACTTCAAAGTACAAAAAAAAAACACCCAGTGAGCAACAGCTTATACAGCTATTGCCACCCCTGATCAGTAAGTCATAGAGAGCAGTTCACATAGATATACTCCCCATCCCTGGATTAGTCAAAAGTGAGCAGCATATTTGAATGCAAACTTTAAATTGAAATATTGCCACTGCAGCTGTCAGAACATTAACACCATGGAGGCCAGACATAAAACCATGCCTTCCCTTACCAGTTTACATCTATAAATTAATATCAAACTTCCCCTCTATTTTTACATGGACATGTTTCATACATAAACCTGAAATTAAGGATAATGTCCACAGATATTTGTCTCTTCTTTACAGCATATTTTAATACTTACATAGTTACGATGCAACTTGTTTCTTGTGCTCATGCTCAGAGATTTCAACAAAATTGGCATCTTGATTGTAAGTTTCAATCAAAGACAATGATCTGGCGATAAACAAAGTCTGAACACTAACACAAGAATTTGATGTAAGCACATGAGGTACAGTAACTGTTGTGTTACTTTTCACATGAAAACCAAACCAGAACAAAGCCTTAGTATGGCCATATTACAAGCTTTAAGTCTTGGAATTGTGTTTTTATGAGTCAGAATCACAAATTTCTAGCTAAGGTACAGAATGACAACTTAGTGGAACCATTACAAGAGTCTTGGAATAATGCTTCAACAAGTGATTGCTGTCTCTCAGCATCACAAATTAGAACGGGAGAGAAATCATGGGTGCATTTTTACTTCACAGTAAGTTCTGTGACTATAAGTGATCTGACTTGTATCTTACCCTTGTGAGAATCAGGTTGCACTCTGCCGAGTTTGCTGTACAGAAGTCAAACACACAAGTGATAAGATTTGTCCACTTCCTCATAAGATCGTCCTTGTTATTCTTAGATCTATATTCTGCAATATGATAAATTGTACAAGCCACATTATAAATTATGATTTTGGTGAAAACAACATGTTGTAAGGGAAATAAATAAATATCTATTATAACTAAACTATCTAATACTTCAGTATACAATAATCCTAAAGTTCCCTTCACAGACAAGAAATCACTGAGAGATCTTGTGCCCACCATTGTATAACCATTATCTTTCATTTCTCTTATTTGGCCACAGTTATACTATAATTATATCGACAGCTAATTGAAGCTTTTCTTAACATCAATGTCCAAAATACAGCACTAAGAAGGACAGATCCCATATGATTCAAAGAAATTTCTTATTACCACAGCTACTGTCTGGAATGGTTAGAAGTGCAAGTGGATGCAAGGAATGACAGATTGTATCTGTACATAGTTTAATCATCTGTTTTGTCTTTTTCCCAACACAAAGCAACATGCTGATGAGGGAAACAGGCACATTGTCTCCATACATCTGTAGTCCTCTCTCAAACAATGCTGACATGTACATATCTGTCACATTTCCTTCACTCTCTAGCCATATAGGAGCAACTTTTGTGAAAGTTTCCTCTATTTTGTTCTCTAAAAACACTAGCCAAATATAGTCCTCTGTTGTTATCTCAAGTTTCGGAGCTACACTTCGGAATCTGCCTAACTCAACAGCACGCAGAATTGCATCCAGTAGTATCGGTGTTTCTTCACTGTCTAAATGACGTTCATCCAGTGTCTTGCTCACAATGTAGCTCACATACAGCAGGCAGTAGGATATTTGAGCCTATAATTAATGTTAATTAAAAATTAATTTTAAAATTATTTAATTGGTTAATTATATTTTACCATTATCAAACCAAAAATGATTATCTTTGAACATTTTTAACTGATACCTGAACAACCAAATCAGTACCAAGAAAGGACATTTGGGATGATTTTTTCTTAATCCTGTCTTCATTCTGACACTTTCCCACCATTTCATAGATATGACTATCTCACACATAAGTTTTAATTTGTAAAAAAATGATAATTCACTATAATTTTTGTGCGCTAAATAAATTATGTCTACATTACTTATTTAGTATTTGGTTAAGCTAAATTTACTTAATTAGCTCCAGTTTCGACATGTGAACATATTTTTTTGATATACAATTTCCTTTATAGATTTTATAAACATATATGACTGAATGTTTGTTAAAGAAGACTAACACTACCTTTGTAAGTCCTTCTATCTGATCACATAACTTGTGCTGAGTAAGGCTAGACACCGAAGTCTTATGAGGTACAGTAGATTTCTTGGCTTTCCCTTTGCTAGTGGAGTGTTTTCTTCGCTTTGCTTTGGTTGGTCCTTCTTCACTTGGCCCATCTACAACCCCCAAAAACAATGAATTTTCAAAATGTTTCCCAAATAGGGCCAAAAAACAGTATGTTTGTCCCCAGTTTCCCTACTGATCCTGACTTTGGGTAACTCTCAAGGAATTACTATTAAATGTCATGATAACTTTCCTATATAAACATCATACCCATATACATAATGAGGTAATAGATACACCTCTTTTTAATAATTTTTTATAGGAGGAAGATACTAAAAACCAATGTTAAAACATCAATAGCTTTCATGTCTTTATGATGTTCAAACAATTCTGTTATTTGGTGTATTAGGAATCAACTTGAAGAAAATAAAAATTCTTAAAATATCATGAAGTTCATAGGTAATAATTGCTACAAATGGTATCATTATTATCTGTTACCAAAATATGGCTTTATTAGTGTGCACAGGTACAGAAACCTACCATCAGGTTGTACACCAGCGCCTGTGTCATTTGTAGACTCTTTTGTCCCCAGAATTGAAAGCTGAGAATAAGATAAATATGCTTTATTAGAAAAATAACAAATTCTCTGTAAAAGTATACAACATATGTTTCACAGATAAAAACATTTCATGATATTTCCAGGACTCTGTTTAAGCAGTTATGGAATATAAGGTTTGTGGTGCTATGCACTAATGACAGCTTGGTACACAATTTTTAAACACTAAACACTTCAAGCAAGTTTAAGTCCAACAAAGCAAATCTTGTATTTATATCAACTAACAAGAACATCATGTTAATTCAATAAATCAGACTCGTGAATTTGTTCACATGTAACTAAAATTAAAAGCAGCTGGCCCTCCTCATGTTTTCAAAGTTAACATCGGTCACATAGATGTAACAAATTAACAGAAATAGATGGAAGAGAGAGAACAGTACTTTGTACCTCATACTTACTTCTAGAGAGAGTGCAAGAAGTTTTTTCAGTATCATAATCCCTAATTTTTGCAGTTTTCTTCCAGACAATGTGGGTTCCAAACACATGAAACAATCCAATCTCATCAGCATTACAGGCAGAGGTTCCTCATAACTGCTGTTGAAATAAATTGAACCTTAATTATACTTAGTTTGGCAAATCTATATTATTTGACTTTTCCTAGTTCTAGGTAATTGAGGTTATGAGAGTTTTAAGGCTTTCGAAAATGTGAAAGGGATTTTCTGATCTTAAATAGCACATTCTGAGAAATTTAGATTGAGATTTTCAGCAAAAAGAAAGGGAAAATATCTCTAAATTTCATCCTGGAGTGATCCCTACTTAACAGCATGTTGTTTTTCACACAGGCACTCTAGGCCAGGATATTATTTTTCAAACATTGATTTTTGTTTTGGCACTCATGACTGACGTTATTTAAACGAAATATCAGCAGAATTCAAGTTTATGTGCCGGTTGACAAATCCGAGTCCAATGACCGTGCTAAAACAAAAATCAATGTTTAAAAAATAATATCCTGGCCTTGAGTGCCTGTGGTTTTTCACAAACTTTTGAAACAAAGCCAATAAACAAAAACAAAATACTGGACTTGAAATTAACTCGCTGGAAGTGTTCAGAGTTGAATTTTTTAATTTAATTTCCAAGTTCACCAAGAAGTCAACATTATGTCGTCACATAATAATACCAAAGATAATGACATATGTAATACCTGTTGGAGGTAAATATCTGACAGACAAGATCCTGTAGTGACTGAATTAATATGTAAGGGAAAAATATCCACAGCAGACCAGATCCTGTAGTGACTGAATTAATATGTAAGGGAAAAATATCCACAGCAGACCAGATCCTGTAGTGACTGAATTAATATGTAAGGGAAAAATATCCACAGCAGACCAGATCCTGTAGTGACTGAATTAATATGTAAGGGAAAAATATCCACAGCAGACCAAATCCTGTAGTGACTGAATTAATAAATGTATGGGGAAAAATATCCGCAGCAGACCAAATCCTGTAGTGACTGAATTAATATGTAAGGGGAAAATATCTACAGCAGACCAGATCCTGTAGTGACTGAATTAATATGTAAGGGAAAAATATCCACAGCAGACCAGATCCTGTAGTGACTGAATTAATATGTAAGGGAAAAATATCCACAGCAGACCAGATCCTGTAGTGACTGAATTAATATGTAAGGGAAAAATATTCACAGCAGACCAGATCCTGTAGTGACTGAATTAATATGTAAGGGAAAAATATCCACTCCACATCAGACCAGATCCTGTAGTGACTGAATTAATATGTAAGGGAAAAATATCCACAGCATAGCAGATCCTGTAGTGACTGAATTAATATGTAAGGGAAAAATATCCACAGCATAGCAGATCCTGTAGTGACTGAATTAATATGTAAGGGAAAAATATCCACAGCAGACCAGATCCTGTAGTGACTGAATTAATATGTAAGGGAAAAATATCCACAGCAGACCAGATCCTGTAGTGACTGAATTAATATGTAAGGGAAAAATATCCACAGCAGACCAGATCCTGTAGTGACTGAATTAATATGTAAGGGAAAAATATCCACAGCAGACCAGATCCTGTAGTGACTGAATTAATAAATGTATGGGGAAAAATATCCACAGCAGACCAGATCCTGTAGTGACTGAGGAAATACCTGTTGGGGGTAAATATCTGACACATCTGTTTGAGTAGAGCAGAGCAGATTCTGTAGGGAGTGAAGTAATACCTGTTGGGGAGGAATATCCACAGTAGAGTAGATCATGAGGGAACTGAATTAATACCTGTGAGTGGTAGAAGATCTGACACGGGGACAGCAGAGTAGGTACTGTAGGGACTAACATATTACCTGTTGGTGGTAGAACATCTGCAGCAAAGCACATCCTGTAGTGACTGAGGTGGGTTGGTGATCAGACTAGCACAGACTGTCTGATAGAATGGGAAACCTTTAAATGCTTCTCCCATCACACCGTCTTTATCATCCTCCCAGGGCAGTTTGATAGACCCTATCTCTGCCCATAAACTAGGTTTGGTGAACTCCATGTTTGGAGTTAATCGTCTCGCTCTTCTGTTTAAAAAAAAAAAAAAACCACATTCAGATGACTAATTCCCTAGCAATGTCTGTTGTATGTGTAAGTGAAGTAACATCTCATTTGGAACTCATAATACTTTTAACTAGTCTAACATCACAGAAGAAAAACATTCAGATGACTGTTTACATCTAACTATTAATACTTAAACAAGAGGCCTGTGGGCCTTAACGGTCATCTGATATAAAATACAAGATTTCAAATTTTGAACTTGAGAAGAAGTCGAAAATGTGTTTTCAAGATGGCGGCCATGGTGGCCATGTTGGATTTTGGACCAACCTGAAATTAACAAACTTTGGTCAGGATCATGTCACGATCATTTCAGGTAAGTTTCAGCTCAATGAGACATGTGGAACTTGAGAAGAAGTTGAAAATGTTTACGACGGACAATGCCAGACAAAAGGCGATCGCAATAGGTCATCAGACCTTTCGGTCAGATGACCTAATGGAAGAGATAAGTGGATGCTGATGAGGCTTACTCATTTAGCATGATGGCTTTAGAGACAATCTGCTGCTTAAATTCATCAGGACAGGACACAATGAAGCAACTGAAGAGTCGTTCACAGTCATACAATATCCTTTTCAACATGTTGCTTGGAGATTGCTGGCTATGGATAACTGAGGAGAGAAGATTTTATATGTTCGAAGTAAACAATGCAATCAGGATAGTCTATTCCCAGTCAAAGTAAATAGTACTGCTTCCAGAATATAGCAATACAACATATATACTCTCTTCCCCTTATTGAAGCATCATTGTTAGGAAATCATCATGAAATCTATGATGTAAAAGTCACTTCTGAACAGCAAGATATACCTCCATATTTTCATATTAATCTTGAAAACTTTAATATTTTCGCATTAATATTGAAGGACAAACTTAAGCTACCTCAGGTTGAAAGTCATTGACAATGAAGACAACACAATGAAGACAAACATCTCTCATTAAATATTCTTGATATTACAAACTCTAATGGGTTGATGATAACAGGCATATACAAAGATGGATGATGGGCCATTAATAGAAAGCATTTTGAACTACACAAAACAAATAATGATTGGCTTTTCCACTTTTTATTCAGTTTCTATGACAACTGCCCAAAATGTGAGGTGATAGGATTATTGGAAAATAACTGTACACGAATAGCTAGATACCTTTCAGAACACTTTCAGCAATAGTGACCAGCACTTCTCCAGCAACACCAGATTCTTCTATCTCAATAAGTTCCATTACCCGTTGAAAGTATTGCCCAAAGAATATAGATTTCATCTTTTCAACAATATGACATGAATTAGGATAAATCCGGGATCTGCAAACATTAGACATCAGAGGTCAACAATGTTACATGTTTTAAAAATGAAACATTAATAAAACATTTCCATGTTTAATATCTTGTTTCTCGTATATATCACTGAATAGATATATCACTGAATATATATATATCACTGACTATAGGCTGTTTGCAATTTGGTTCAGCATTCATGTTTTAAAATTAGTCTAATTTGAGAATTAAAGTTCCTTTCTTTAAAATGTTAAATGAATTATCACAGCTGCAGTCTAGTACAGTATAATACCAATATAGTAATATTTAAGGACTAACAAACTAGGACAGCCACATGATCTGGGTCAGTCATTTTCATTCATAAGGATGAGGTATTTCAGTCAGTAGCAGCCCTCCTAGCACTCAGGTCAAAGTTTGACTAGCATATTACAACTACTTCAAGATAAACAACAGCAGTGAAGCTATCAACCTTCACCTTAAAAAATTGCAACACCTTAAATATTAGACTAAAATAGACTGTATCATTAAGTTATGCTGCTGCATAAATTACAATCAATTTACATCTCTTAAAAAATTGCATAAATTAATGTAAATGTAGAAAGTTGTTATAAGTGTCCAACCTAGAAAACATAATTTTGCGCAAGGGGCAATGATTAGCCATCAGCAATTTGTTAACAAACATTACCCATGCTCCAGGTCATCCGCTAAGTTCTTCTTGAGTAAATCTAAGGAGAGGCTCCATGTTAACTTGTCCTCTTTACTGACCCCAAATGTTTGATCTGGGGCTCCATGTACACAGTTCATGTTCGATGTTGCATCTCTCAGAGCATCTGTCAGAAAAAAGTATAATTATAGTCTGAAGTTATTTTGGGAATTTGGTTTGCAGTTTAGAATTTGAAATTAAAATGTTAAGGGACCTTGAGAGCTCATCAAGTATTCCCGTCTTTATTTAAAAAAATACCTTGTTGTGTAACTATTCATTCATTTCATTCATATTCATAAGCAATATTCAGTAGATATTTGGATATGCATCCATAGACTGACCAATTATAATGCAATATCAGAATTGGCAACATGTACAATTTCATTTTCTCTTTGACTGGTGCCTGTTGAATTTTGCTACAGCATCATGTTTTATATCCCTTTCTAAGAGATTGCAGTGGTAAAAGATCCCATAAGGTTTGACTGATTAAACCAGGTGAATTCGGTGTAGCTGGTATTACATATGAAAATGTTTACAATGACTTAGAACGTCATAATTATCACAAAGAAGATATAATTTTATCTAAAATGAGGCCTATGGGTCTAAACAATGATCTGACAAAAAGACCCCTTTATCAGTGTAGTATTCATACTCAGCAGTATTATAGTGGTACAGCAAACAATTGGTACTCCATTTCCAATTTGAACCAAATGAAAAATCTACAACACTTGGTAAAGACCATGTTATGATCGTTCCTCCTGGCACATCTGAACTAAATGCAGCTGATGGAACTGTAGCAGATTTTTCAAATGTGATTTCCTAATTGGTAGCGAGAGTGAACATATTTGGTTAAGCACCACCTCTGAAAGTTGTGATTTCCTTACTTGCAGCCAGAGTGAACATATTGGACTTAGCACTGCCTCTGAAATTAATAATTCTTGGTCAAGACCATTTTGGGAGACTTTCAGTCGTGTTCAAACACTGCCAATATCACTATCGATATTTGCACACACTTGTGACCTCATGCTGAGTTCAAACAGTTTGAATTAAGAGTGAAATAAGACCAGAAGGGCTCCAACTATCATTACAGTTATTATTGTTTTATTGAAAACATCACATGCACCAACAACTTGCCTATTCATACTGACTGAAAGTTTACTGATTGTCATGTAACTTAATGGAAACTCCTCAAAAGTTATCTAAAGTGTCCATACCAATATGTTGAAACACTCTTCCAAGCATGCCTGCCGGGTCCTCATTTATAGCATACTGTAGAAGCTTCTGTAGCTGGTCTCGTGTAAGAGAAGACAGCGTCTCTGTTACAGGTGCATGCACACAAATCTGTTAAGACAGAGATAACCACAAATATCAGCCACTTTTGTCCAGAACATTTACAAGAGGGCATCTTTTAGTCAAGATATGATGAAAAAATGTTCCTATTCAAAACAAACTGTTCAACAAAAAAATACAAACACATACTGTTATATTTTGTCTTGTTTAGTATTTCATTTCAGTAGGCAGTAATGAACTAAACCTTCAAAGCCAATCTCCAATCAAGCCAAAACTCTCTGTGAAACAGGTTCATTACATTAACTTTTGGCACTTGACATTACCTCCCCTTTCAAAGTGGGAATACCTTACTATTATTATGAAATACTGTTATACACACCTTATCCGAGCATCGCATTCTATGGAGAATGACCGCAATGATGTGGTGACACCATATATAATGTGGGCATAAAGCACATTTTGAAGAGGTAATCTGTTGTTTTTCAAATGTCACAGATACTTTGGAAACCTGCTCATTGATAACAGCTGATACCATAAACCCTACAAAACATGAAGAAGTCACAATCAACTTCAGAAAACAAGTATTTCAACAGAATAAGATGGTCATGTAGTAAAATATAATTCTTCAGCAGCATGCTCCTACCATTAGGTAGTCTGACTTTATTTACTAGAACCAGATATATATTCATCAATAAACAAAGAATGTTTTAAAATATCTTTACACAGTAATTCACAAAAAATCTGTTTACTTACCAACTTGTCTGATGTCATGAAAACTTTCGTTTTCATAAAAAATTTCTCCTTTCCTCCATACCCTTTCTGATTTTACACAAAGCCTGGCATAAGCTTTTACCCTTTTTTCATCTTGAGGGAAAGCCCAGAACGAAACCTGCAATCAATGACACATCAACTTGTAATATACACAAATAAAGGTGAGAAACTTTGAAAACCTCTGCTGGCAAGCAAGGAGAAGTGATCAGCTTTTGTATTATGGCTTTTTAAGAGGCAAACTAACATAATTTTTACATGTGTATTAAATTTTGTCTGACCAAGGCTTGCAATCAAACTTCAGTTCATATTCCTGTCGAAATTGGACAGAAAATGATATTTAAGTCCAAGGGTAATAATTCTGGAAAATGATAGTAAACTGGGGCCAATCTGTTTGGCTAGTTGTCAATGCTTATTAAACTGAAATTCAATGATTGTAGATGGGTTTTAACATTTGATTTAAGCAGTTAAACAGCTTGAAGAGAACACAAGATTGAAAACTTGACACTGGATCAATGTAAAGAATTTTGATATGCAAATCTACATAAAGCAGGCCAAAATAATTACATACTTCAGATTTCTGTTTACCATTTAAGTACAGTTATAAGGATTTCTTTAAAAATCCATTTAGTAACTTAGCATTTTTTCTGATCAAATGTGGCATACTAATTAATCAAACTCATCAATAACTGAATGCTATTTGTTTTCAATCAACTGATTAATCATTTTCAGAAGAAAGATATATTTTTTTTTTATTAAAATTCTGAAGGCTTATCCCTGATAAGTATTACAAGAGTGTGATTATGTATCTACTTTCCTGTGTTATAATCTGACAGATGATGCTGTTTGGATGAAACGAAACAAGAATGCTGAAAAGTGAAATGCTGTCACAGTATGTGTAAAGGGAGATAACTCAGTGTAATTTTAATGCCACAAGCAACCCAGTCCTGAAACTTCAGACACATTTACTACATTAATCGATAACTGATAATTTTATAGAAACCAATAAACCAATTATTGATCTTGTGATAGCTAGATGAGTGCAAGATATTCCTGGTAATTTAATCAGGATTGGAAAAAAATGGATAGTGATTTCAGGACAATATTACAGGAAAAGTTGTCACTAAATAGTCAGTGATCATAATTCACAATCAACTACACAGAAATAGCAAAGAGTTCTAAGTTTCCTGATTATCTATTTAACAGTGATCCTCATTTTGGTGAGATTATTTTGTATCATTGTATGAAACTCTGATGTTTCAGTCAAGATTGGCAATTTTATTGACTGAAAAATAAGAATACCATTGCTAAAGCTGTTTAAAGCAATTAAAACTGGTCTGTAAGACAGTCAAACAACATCTTACAAAAGTTTTCATTTCAAAATTTAGTGCCTTCCTTACCTTTTTTAACAAAGCTTCATCAAGAGGAGGGTTATGAGTCTCAATACTCTCACAGGAATAGTGTTGAGCTGTCATTTTGGCTGCCAAATCCATCAATTTCAGGACTACTCTCGGTTTTTCATTCAGCATTTTTGGGTCGTCATCAGAAAAACTGCTAAGAGAGTCCATTGTATCTGCATAGGAGCTAGTGTCAGAATCTGAAAACTAAACAAGATTATACATTTTTGAGACAGCAAATTAGTTACGAGGGCTGATTGACAAGTTGTGAGCGTCATAATCAAGGGTCGGACTTTTGGCAGACATATTTCTTTATTTTTCAACATAATCTTCTTCATTATCTATACACTTTTGCAGTGATGTTTAAGGGCCTCAGTGCCACTTGATGGCCCTTATGACCTTTTAGGAGTTGACAGGCTGTTAAGAATGTCATAATAATAATAATAATAATCGATGCCACTTTTAAAGAATTTTTTTTCTTGACCATTCAGAAAGTCCGCCTTATCATCTGACCAAAATTGGGTACCGGAAATGACCTTTTACAATTTTGGAAATAGATGAAAGTCTGATGGAGAGATCAAATAAGTCAGGTGCTCAATCAATTCAAAACAACAATCATTAATGGCAGCCATGGCAATGAAAGACTTGTGAACAGGGGCAATGTCCATGTAGAACAACATACCTTTTCTGGGTTTTCCATAGTGCTTGAGTTAAATATTTTCTCTTAACTGCCCAAGAAGTGATGCATGATATGTGCCATTCATTATTTGTCCCTTTTGCAGATAATCTACCATCATAACACCATTCACTTCTTTGGCAGGGGTGAACCAAGGTACTACAATTGTTTAGACTCTTGTTTGGCCTCTGGAGTGAAACGATGGACCTAGAGCAAATCTATGTATAATATGAAAAAGAACTTTAAAAGAACTTTAAGAAGAAATATTACTTATTTGAGACTAAACAATAAAAAGTTGAATCTAACCCTTCAGAAAACGTGCACACATAATCACTGTGAACCACCATTTTTACACCATTATTTTATTTTGATTTTGTCATCAAAATGTTGTTCATTTTCAAAAGATGATTTTATGTAAGATATAAGTAATTCTAGGTCACTTTAAGCTAACTGTCTAATCATCTCTGTGATTTCGCGATGTCAGCAAATTCCGATGTTCAATCACATGTCCGATACACATGTCGATCATTTCAGGTGAGCGAATTTGAAGTCTTATTTGTTGGTTTTTTGGGGTTTTTTTTAAAGAAAAATACTGGTGTTTCACGGATTAGTTTTTAAATAAATCTTAGAGTAGGATTATATTTTAAATCATTTATGTATTTATTTAGTGTCGATTCGTCGACATAGCAGCTAGCGAGAAATTAATACAGTTAATTGTGAGTCAGTCCTGTTTCATTACCGGTTGTGTATATTAGTGAAACGAGACTATAATAATTCGAGATCAATTTGGTTCAAGCTGCTGCAGCTGCTAGTATAACGACAGGTTGTTTTATGTTTACCAATTTTCTCGTCGTACGGGACGTCTGAATGGAACATAAACTACCACTTCTTATGTCTTCTTATGTTGTTTCCGCCTGCAGGACCTACTGGCAGCTCAGAATTGTTCGTAAACACCACGTAATGAATTGCCGTCCTACAGCATCATACAGCTTTGAGAAAGCTGTGTTAAGTTTATGATGAATGAAACCAACTGTTATGTTTCTTGCATCTTGATGACACCTTGGCAGTACACAGTATGCCCTGCGAATGTCTAGGCTATCACGTGCGGTTCCGAACCCAACGTATTTTCGTTGGATAGCGAAACTAGCGACAACACCTCAGAAACTCGACCCCGAAATAAACCAACATCAGCAAATTGTACAGGAAACATGAGGTTTTCTATGAATGTGTATCCATCTAAACATTCTCCATACCCATCTTCAAAGATATTCTGATGACCACGCCACAAATCCGTTTTTATACTCCAAGTAGCAACCAATGTCACGTGACCACACATTGACAATGGCTGAGCCTATGTGGTTTCATTTGTAAATATTATTTTTGCTGCGACTGTGAGTATAGCGCATGCGCGAACACCAAATAATGACAGAGAAAAATACCGCAAGTATTTAAAAATAACCTAAACCGGGAGTTTCCACTGATGGTGTAATAACGAGAAATGACGTATCGGACCTGACGTGGACGCCTGTGTCAAATCAAGAGTCCAGAAGTTTATTAAAAGTCGCATATGGTAAACAGTGAGGCACTGTATAGTGCTATCATAGCGACAAACAGAAGTACATAACAACAATGTTCACTACTTATGTAATGGTCAAATATCACAGACACAAAGAATTATCTTAGAGTTACATGAATACTAACGGGAACTTTACATTAGTGTTACAAAAGTTAAAACTCTACCAAAGTGTAATAAACATAGAAGCTAATATAGCAAATTATAAAAATTGATATAATATACACTTATGTGAATTAAAAGTAGACCTACAGGTCAGGAGAAATGAAGAAAACAAACCAAAAAACAAAAACAGAAAACAGTAAGATGATTTAAAATAAATAATAATAATAACTAGAAACTGTCATAGACAATTTTGACGGGGTTTTCACCTATTTTGGTCTGTAATTAAAGACAATGCCTGCAATGCATTTACACTCTGTATGAAATCAAAGTACAAAAGGAATCATCAATAGTAAGAGATCAAAGCACTGAGCATACTGTTTTTCAAAAATAATGCTGTATACTGTTAATTTTGAATTGTACCGAAAGAACAGAAGTTGAATTTTTGGAAAACATTATTTATTGTTATCAATAGTAAGTGTCCACAGGATCACAGGAGGTTTTAAAGGAAATTTCACAATTGTTTACCGCTAAATATGTTAAATTGAATTCTTAGGAATTTTTACATGACTGACACCTGTGACCTCGAAATAGGGTCAAGGCCATCAATCTTAACAACAGTTATAGACAATTATATTAACTTTATATGTATAACATATCAAGTCTCTAGAGTTGTTTTTAAATATATCTGTAATTTCTTTATTGATCATTCGTTATTTTATGAGAAACAATCTGGTTTTATGACTCATCATTCAACTGTTCACCAATTGATAGAAATGTATCATAGCATATGTTGTTCATTGAAAGAAAAAAAACATACTTGTTTAATATTCTGCGATATATCGAAAGCCTTTGACAGTGTTTGGCATAAAGGTTTATTACACAAATTACATGGTTATGGCATTAGAGGTAGTTTATTACAGTGGTTAGAAAATTACATTTCGAACAGACAACAACAGGTTCTAGTAAAAAAAACCGCATATTCCAAAATAAGTTATACGAATGCTGGTGTTCCACAAGGAAGTGTCTTAGGTCCTCTATTATTTTTGATATATGTAAATGATATCGTTGATAATTTGAATAGTATTTCACGCTTATTTGCTGATGATACCTCTTTGATTGATTCTTCATCGTCTTATGTTGATATTGAAAGGTCTGTTAATAGAGATTTGGAAAAACTTGATAAATGGTCTAGAGATTGGCTCACCAAGTTCAATCCACAGAAAACTGATGTTTTATTAATATCAAATTCAAGAAATATTTTGCCCTTACAACTTACTTTTGGTAATGAAACCCTAAATTGTGTTTAAAGTCATAAACATTTAGGCGTGGTATTTAGTGCAGATGCAAAATGGTCGTTACATATATCCGAAATTCAAAAAACATGTATGAAAAAGGTATCAGTACTTCGGAAGTTTAAGTTTTTATTGAGCAAGAAAACTTTGTTAAGAATATACAAAGTGTTTATTTTACCTGTATTAGAGTATGCCTGTGAAGTTTGGGATGGTTGTTCTTTAGCAGATCTCACCAAACTTGAACACGTTCAGTTGGAAGCAGCTAGAATCATAACGGGCCTTCCCTCATTTTCTGGTAAACAGTCATTATATCATGAATCTCAACTTAAACCTCTGTCTGATAGAAGAAAACTTAAGAAACTTTCACTGATGTATAAAATCCACAATAAACGAACACCCTCTTATCTAACTAACCTTCTACCTCCTAAAGTACACGAATGGAATACCTATCAAGTGAGAAACATTGAAAATTACACTGTTCCCAATTTCCGACTGTCTAGTTCATTTCAGTCTTTTATTCCGTCTTCTATTAGACTATGGAATGAATTACCTAACAGTGTTAGAGAACAGCCATCCATAAACAGTTTTAAATCATTGATTCAGTATAATGAAAATGACTTGTTACCTAAATATTTTGATGTTGGAAATCGTAAACTGAATATTTTACACACACGATTGCGTCATTCTTGTAGTATTTTAAAATATGATTTGTATAGAGTTAATATTGTAAGTGATCCTACATGTGCATGTGGTAATAGGTGTGAAAATGTAATACATTATTTTTTTGATTGTGTGCTGTATACACAACAACGACAAATCATGTTTGACAGTATCACACGTTACTGTAACGTTTCTCTTAATGTTATTCTTTCTGGTTCTCCAAACCTGTCTGATGAAGATAATGAAAGTATTTTTCTTGTCGTTCAAACATACATAAAAAATAGTAAAAGATTTTAAGATCAGTAGCAATTTTGTATATTATATAATATCTTACTCCATTTAGTCTCTACCGTTCCCTTTTCTTCCTTTCTCCCCCATTCCTTTCTTCACTTATTTTCTATACTCATATATATATACTTTTGTAAATGTTATTGTTATTGTTGTCATGCCATTTGTGTATAATGAAATCTTATGGAAAAGGCGTTTTTAAGTTGCGATAGCTTGTGCCCAATCCTTTTTGTTGATTGACAAATAAAATATGTTTAAATAAAATAGGGTCAAGGCCATCAATCTTAACAACAGTTATAGACAATTATATTAACTTTATATGTATAACATATCAAGTCTCTAGATCTTGCCAACATTGAGAAGAAAAATAAAATAATAATAAACTTTTTTCTACTTTTAGGTGACCTTGACCCTTTGGCGAGCTTTTTTTCATTTTAAAGAATTTCTATTAACATGTATAAAAAAAAGTAACATATGACCCTCTTCTACATAAAATATATTGTAGCCAATTTGTAGGACAAATAGTTTTCGACTTATTGCTGTTTTTAGAATTTCTGGCAATTGGGTCATGGCGCCCCATATTGGATTTTTGACCTACTTAAAAATGCGGCATTAACAAGTTCAGATGTACTTCCATGACATTCTATATAGGTTGCATGCCTATCCCTTACCGTTTAAAAGATTACAAACCCACAAATTCGGAAGAAAATGAATTAAGAAACATAGCAAATATAAAAGGTATTTTGGGGAAAAACTCAAATAATAATAAAAATAATACAAGTACTGAAAGTGTAGACTTTTCAAGGGGAATAACTCACACAGTATGGTGTGTGCAGATGACACAGGAACGTTAACAGAACTGGGTATCCCAGTTACGGATCAGTCGCCGAAAAACGTTGGACAGGCTGGGATGCCATAAAACGAAAAGATCTCTTCCCATAAGTGGAGTTATTCACCCTAGGAACTCTAACAAGATTGTTTTTGTCTAAAATTATATAAAAAAAAAACTGTTTATATAGATATATATATATATATATATGTTGTGAATATATATAACATGATAGGGCAGTGTCAGAGAATATTACTTCATGTGTAATGTTTCCTTA